AGGAATTCAAAATTAGCTAACAGTTCAATGATTGCACATGTCATGCACATAGTTCCCTTTATCATTTTGAAAAGAAAAGAAAAACAAAGATTCTAACAAAATAGCATGAATTCATTTTATTTCGTTCGGGTCTCGTCAGCTGCTTACAACCTGTGATATTTAAAATCCTAATTACAGAACCGGTTTAAAGAGAGCAAGAACAAAGATTGGTGCAGAATAATAAATCAATTCATTTTATTTCTGATTAAGATCATGAATCAATTGATGTTAGACCACCGTTGGAAACCTGGAAGCACTGGACGGCCGTTTCGTCCCAGTATGGGACTCCTCAGCAGTGCGCATCCACGATCCCACTTCCCGCGAGATTCGAACCCAGGACCTATCAGTCTCGCGCCAGGCGCTTAACCAACTAGACCACTGAGCCGGCATCCAATGGTGATAGTGTCTAACATCAACCAATCTACGAAATTGCGCGACCAACTTCCATTGTACATTAACAATCTCCACAACCCCTATACTGATAATTAACATGTGGTCACTAGTGACTAGCTTCGTGAGGGAATTCTCGGAGTTCTAGTGAGAAGCTGTGACTAGTAGAAATAATCCGTGTCGGGTAGAGACAGGTATCTACCACAGTACAATGGAAGATGATCGCGCAATTTCTTGAATTTGTTGAAATTAGAAATTAACATCGTTGGATGCCGGCTCAGTGGTCTAGTTGGTTAGGCGCCTGGCGCGAGACTGATAGGTCCTGGGTTCGAATATCGCGGGAAGTGGGATCGTGGATGCGCACTGCTAAGGAGTCCCATACTAGGACGAAACGGCCGTCCAGTGCTTCCAGGTTTCCAACGGTGGTCTAACATCAATTGATTCATGATCTCAATCAAAAACTTAACAATCTCCACAACCCCTATACTGATCATTTTATTTCGTTAGGTTCTTATCAGTTGCTTACAACCTAAAATATTTGAAATTCAACGTTATTATAGATATTGACATACTTATACATAAGAGGATGATGAAGGATCAATACATGTGTATCATGATGTAGCGAAGATTCAGATAGAGTTCATGAGGTCAAAAAAATTTTTGTTTCGAATATATAGAGTTTTGGGAGGGAAACTTCCAGAACATTGAGATAGTGATTAGAAATCATGGAATTAAAACACATTAGACGATTATGTAATGAAATAACTGAAAATAGATTAATGTTAATAAAGAGAGATATGAATTGAAATTGGTCAGTTATGAATGATGTAATTATAAAATTCAGAAAGAGTTGGAATGACGTAATAAATAAAAAAAGGGGGGGTAATGTTACCAGGGCAAAGAAAGATTTATTACTGTCTCTTTTTATATACATAGATCTGGTTTTAAACGTTTGATTGCTATTGCTTCCGCGAATTTCAAAAGGTTTGAATTTGATTGTTTGTTGATCAACTTGAAGGATTTCAGTATATCGACTTTGTGTCCTGTGTCAAGGAGATGTCTTGCGATAACGCTGCTAAATTCTTTTAGTCTGTTTGACAAAGATCTGGTTTTAAACGTTTGATTGCTATTGCTTTGGCAAATTTCAAAAGGTTTGAATGGGTTTAAATTGCTTACATAAAACAGTTTAGTTGGAAGTTACATTGAAGATACATTAGTAGAGTATGGTAAGGGTGTAAATAAATGGAATAGACTGAATGCTGTAAATATATATACCTTATGTAAAAGAAAATTCCACAACATAGATTATGATAACAGTTCAAAAAGCCTAGAAACAAGTGATGATTACATAAGTCAGGTTTTTGATGCTTGATAGAAAAGACTTCTGTAAACTTCAGAAGACTGAAGTTTGACTGTTTTATTAATCACCTTGAAAGATTGCAATATATCGACCTGATATCTTGTATCCAAGAGATGTTCGGTAATTGTATTGTTTAGAGTTGCTCAAAAAAAAACACTTCAAGACTTCATACTGAAGTTAACATTTTAAGTTTAAACACTTACTCAGAACTGAATCAAAATGGTACTAATCACAGTGTTTAGCACGTCCAAACAAAGATACTTTTAATTTATGACTATTATTGATGAATTAATTAAGTACTTAACTAGTGAACATTCAAAGTTTTCTGTTAAAAGTTTTTCATATTTAATTCATCATGTTATCGTTTGAACATGTTATATCCCGATGAGAATAATGAATGGTAACTGTTGAAATCTATTTCTGGACTAAAGACTCTAGACTATTCGTACGGGTTTTATGCGTCATTGGTCCGGTCGATTATTCACTGTTCTTTAAATGGCTGATTCATTACCTTATACATTCTGTTTAACAATACCCTGTTGAAGACTTCCTGGTATTGTGAGAAGAGCGATGTCCTTGTACTTATCACAGTTGCTGAGATCGCCTTTCTTTGGTATCTTGATCAAGTGTCCTTTTTTCCAGTTGTTGGTACTTGTTCCTCATCCCAAATCTTATTGAAGAGAATGTGGAGTATCCTTGCAGTTGCCGCTACGTCTGCTTTTAGTGCCTCTGCTGAAATGTTGTCTGGTCCTGTTGCTTTGCCACTCTTGATTTGCCTGATGGCCATGCTTATCCCTTCAATTGTTGATAGACCAACATCGACTGAGAAGTCCATGGGTGCTGCTTCGATGTTGGGTGGGTTCAGTGGGGCTGGTCAATTCAAGAGTTCTTTGAAGTGTTCTACCCACCTGTTTCGTTGTTCTTCAATGTTGGTGATTACCTCGCCTTCCTTGCTTTTCACTGGTCGTTCTGGTTTGCGGCGATTTCCAGAGAGTTTTTTTGTTATTTCACACAGTTCTCTCATGTTTCCTTCTCTTGCAGCCTTTTCCGCCGTCTTTGCTAAATCTTCCACATATTTACGTTTGTCGGTTCTGATACTCCTCTTCACTTGTTTGTTTACTTCTGTGTATTCAGCTTGTGCCTTGGCTTTTTCTGCTCTTGTTCGGCTGGTATTGATTGCTGCTTTCTTGTTCCTTCTTTCTTGAATCTTATCCAGTGTATCAACAGTGATCCATTCCTTATAATGGTGCTTCTTGTGACTGAGGACCTCATGACATGTTGAAGTGATTGCTTCTTTGATTCCCTTCCAGTTGCTCTCCACAGTAGTTCCTTCTCCATTGAGTAGATCATGAAAGGCCTGGAATCTATTGCTGAGGACTATCTTGAATTTGTTGAGTTTGTCCGTATCTTAAAGAAAGGCCGTATTAAACTTTTGTGCTGTTGTCCGTCCCATTGTCCGGTGCTTCTTGAGTTTCACTTTCATCTTGGCGACCAGCAAGTGATGATCTGATGTTATATCAGCTCCTCTCTTGGTTCTCACGTCCTCTATAGTCCTCCTGAACTTTTTGTTGATGTAGATATGGTCGATTTGGTTTTGCGTGGTGTGACTCGGTGAAGTCCATGTGATTTTGTTGATGCGCTTATGTGGGAATATAGTTCCGCCTATGACCACTTTATGGAACACACATAGGTTTGCAAATCTCTCACCATGTTTGTTCCTTTCTCCCAGTCCATGTCGTCCCATGTAGTCTTGATATCCTGTTGTTGTCCACTCCAACCTTGGCATTTAGGTCTCCCATCAGAATGATCAAGTCCTTTATTAGGCACTTCTCTACGATTGACTGCAGCCTATCGTAGAATTGGTCTTTAACTTCTTCACTGTAGTCGTTGGTAGGCGCATAGCATTGGGTGACGTTAATCGAAATGCCCTTTTTCTTTGTTTTGAAGGAGGCTTTATAGATCCTTGGTTCATGAGATTCCCATCCTATAAGTGCATTTTGTGCTTGTTCCAATAGCATCAATGCAACTCCTTGTGTATGTGGGACATTTTCTTCTTCATGGCCAGAGTATAACACCAGCTCTAATGAAGCTAGTCGTTGTTTTCCAACCTGCGTTCAATGTGTTTCACTGGTCCCAAGCACCTCCAGGTTGTATCTCCTCATTTCTGCAGCAATTCGGATGACTCTCCCACATTGTACGAGCATTCTATGTACCTAAATAAATGGTTGCTCTGGTTGTCAGAAATGGCATCGGCCTCGTGGCTTCCGGAGAAACTCGGCTTTCACAATAAGGCATCATAGTTCTTCTAAATGAAGACCTTCTAACTCCCAGGCCAGAGTTTAATTGGTTTGAATATTTTTTTCTCGTTAGCGTCTTTTTAGCGAGTTAGTTTTCTACGGGATGGGGACGCTAACCCCATGCCCAACCCCCCTCTTTTATCCGGGCTCGGGACCAGCGGTAGCCCCAAAGGGGCTCCGGGAACATTCCGACAACCAGTTGTCACACACAAGTGAGTGACAAGTACTTATTTGTCTAAATAAAGGTTATCTTGATTTCTAATTCTTACGTTTTTGGGGACTAAATTAGATCACTTGTTATCGGGAAAAAAGGCTTCTTGATGATAGTGGATGGTAGTTAGGAAATACGAGTTCTGCCCTGGCAAATTAATATATTTCGAGTTGACACTTAGAAGCTCACAAATCCCCTGATACGGCCGAGAGTGGAGAGAGTCAGCTCCCCCTCTCCAAATGCTCTGAAATGTTCATGCGTTTACAGCCACTACCAGGGAAGTCCTACTCACTGCCTTCTCATGCAGGGCGTGTTGTTTACGAAATTAAGAGGACAAAAAGAGAATGTCAGGTGCTGTAGCCGGATTGGTGGACATGGGAGAGTCCACCTGGGAGAGTTGGAAAACCCTGATTCCAGACTAATGGTGCACATGGGCTCCAGTATCCTGAAGGAACAAATGGTGTATGAATCAATCATTGATCACTGGCTACCATGAGACTTCATCTCCAGACGTTGCTCCACTACCTCGTGCATCAGACCTCTAGGTCAAAGGCTCCGTGTGTGACCCCCCAAGAAAACCACGTGCTTCGGTTTAGACATTCGAGTGGTATGATAGCCCACACACAAATCAAGTGACTTGTATGGCGTATATGTATTCTGTGCCCTCTTGTGCCAAAATTTTGTAATCAAATAAATAAATGATACTTAGAAAGTAAATGATGGAAAATATTCTATCTTTGATTGTTTAAACGTATATTACCATTTCATATTTAGATTAATCGATTAGCATTCAAGAACATAAATATTATGATCGTGTAATGTAATTTGTGTACAGCAAAAGTACCAACAGTAGTGAAAAATACATTCTGACACTAATTTAAAACAAAATACTTAATATTAAATGAATAAAAATCATAGAAAATCTTCAATATATTACTTCTTTCAATACTATTGATACGTATATATATATATCTCTGCATGAGAATGTACTTTGTGTACTATATAGATGTAAACATATAAGATAGTTGTTTTCTTTCTTCTTTTTTGTGATTTGAGCATTTGTATACATCTAATGTAATGATAATATGGAACCAGTTGAAGTGAATATATAACTGAAATTACAACAGAATTGGATAGTACTTGGAATTAACTAAATTTCCAAGAAGATATATATAAGATATCTATGTTGATATGTAATTGAAATGTAATATCAAACATGTATACTAAGAAAATTAATTAGTAGTAAACAGTAGTATATATATATATAAACTATCTCCAATAGATTTATATGTATGTTTGTGTGTGCGTTTGAATTTGGTGCCATTCGTGACTATTTTCTTCATAAATCAAGATGATGTATCTGTAAAATCAATTAAGAGATGGAATAACAACGAGAACTTATCACTGAAATATATTATATTAGGCGAAATTTTTATTTGAAATAACGAAAAGAGCGAAGAAATTTCTTTTCAGTTAGTTTCTCATCACGGCTCTATACTATACTATACTATACTATACTATACTATACTATACTATGCTATACTATACTATACTATACTATACTATACTATACTATACTATACTACGCTACACTATACTATACTATACTATACTATACTATACTATACTACATTATACTTTACTAAACCACGGCGCGCAATGCTGACTAGTGTATGGGATGGTTGGAAGAAAGTTAGGGGTGGCAAAACAAAAACGTGGCATCAGTACTTGAAGTCACTGACTTCTAGTCTGAACCATGTAGGTAGATGAAGATTACCTGGATGACTATCGTAACCAATAGTTGGAGACTCTGAGTAACATGGCTCAAAATCGACCACAATAACGTAGGTGTATACACTCTTTGTCTTCCTTTAAACCATGAGATTAAAATCGCTTTATACCTTTCATTCTACGAACTAATTCTTTCTTCCTGTACTATGCCCTTATATGCAATCTTTCTTTTATATATTATGACCACGACTGAATCAACTACTTCTATGAATTCGGTGTTCATCTTGTTGTGCTAATGAGGTATGGCAACTTGGACTGATGTATATATGTCCCTGGTCCTATGTTGTATCTGACTGACTGATATATATGAATAATATATAAAAAGTAGGGACTAACAGAATATTTTGATGAAAGGTCAGTATCATTGTAGTTATGTAAGAATCTAGAGACGAATGTTGAGAATATGTAATAGTATAAACGTGGAAGAAATTAGAAAATAGTTTAAATATTTTTGAAGGAAAAGGTTACAAAACAGTTCAGCTACAAATTCACTCCTATACCGATGGACAAATCGGTGAGAATAATCGTACAAATCTCTTTCGGATGTAAAGGTTTGGTTTATGAATATGGATTTCGATAGTTTCAGTGATATCCAATAGACGAACTCGTGAACCATGTGGTAGATTTGATGGAATATAGTAGACAACCTTAAAAGTTTTATTCAAGTTAACTTGATGACCTGTGTCCACAAAGTTAGCAGGAATAGAACTCTTAACCCTTGTTATCTGTTCTTTGCTCAACCAGCACGGACGGCGCTCCGCTATGAATTCTCTTTATTCGTTCTTTTTACTAAATGTTAACATGAGAATTTTCACTTTACTGAATTTTTCATTATCACTTATTCTAATCAATTACTAAAAGATTCCAGTAATTTTTTCACTAGTTCTCGAATCGTCCGCGACAAAGTCGAAGGTTTTTTGAAGGAAAGTAACCTTCATTATTAACCGATAAGAAATTCTGACGTCACAGGAAAGAAATGTCTTCACATGATTATTGGTAAATGAAGTTATAGTAAGTTAGTTGGTCAGTCAAAAGAAACATTAAACTATTAGAAAAATTACTTATCTTCTCATGTTGCTGCATCTCGTCAGCGTAAGACAATTTCCATGTTAGTAAAAGTAGTAACAATGTTGATTATTACAAATATTAAATATAAACAGCACAATCATACAAGATAGAAAATATTTGCAGATTAAAACATATAGAATAATTGAAAAAATAAGATTTACAAGAATACAACAAGTGACTGAATCTAAACTGTTGCGGCTGATTTTCAGATATGCCACCCAAATTATATAACCGTTGGCCACGATAGTCTTGTGGATCCCAATTAAGTAATGTGATTCTACCAATATAACTTAGACTAGTAGTATATGATATAATAGACTTATGTCACTACGTTGTTTGACCACTTATAGCTTTCTTTCGGCCCAAACTAACACCAGATAAAAAAATACGTACATATTTTTTAGGAATTCTTAAACCGGAAGAATACCAGCTGTATAGAATTCTTTATGTCTCAACAACCACCTACTTGACATATCGGTATTTTTATGAAAATTAACCTTATAATTTCTATTTAAAAGTAATCAACTTCGAAAATTACCTACTAACTATCTGTATATGACATTTTTATCTACATTAAACGTACTTATGTGAAAGTTAGTTATTAGTTGAAAAATAACAATGATTAAACAGAATTATTCTTTAGTTTCTGTTATAACATCGGAGTTTCCTCGTTAACACGGATGAGACACTAAATTAAGGTAGATGAATGTCTACACTAGATTCTCTCACAGTGTCTATTCTACAAGAACACCAACCCAATCACACTTGATGGCGAAACTCTGGAAGATATAGAAACCTTCATATACCTGGGAAGGATCATCAATGAACACGGAGGATCAGATGCAGACTTAAAGGCGAGAATCGGCAAAGCAATGACAGCATTCCTACAATTGAAGAACATCCGGAACTCAAAACAACTGTCTGTCAACCAATATCAAAGTCACAATCTTCAATACGAACGTCAAAACAGTCCTACTGTATGGAGCTCAAACTTGGAGAATTACCACGACCATCATCAAGAGGGTACAAATATATATATGAAGCTGTCTACGCAAGATACTCAACATCTATTGGCCAGATACCATCAGTAATAGCCTTCTGTAGGTGAGAACAAACCAGCTTCCAGCTGAAGGTGACATTAGGAAAAGACGGTAGAAATGCATAGGATATACATTATGGAAATCACCATACTGCATCACGAGGCAAGTCCTAACTTGAAATACTGAAGGGAAGTGGAAAATGTTAGGATGTGCAGAAAAATATACCAATAATTATCATGTTAAGTCTAATGGTGGCCTTGGACTTTAAATGTAAACTCCCTATTGGTCAGTATTTATTTCACTTGTTAAATATTGTACAAATGTTGTTTTCTATTTTATGGTACGATGTGGTTTGTTTGGTTGGTATATAAACAGAGTATGTCTGAAATATAATGATTCATGTCTCAGAGGCTGTGACTTGCGTTCTGGACTCAACTGGCTGGGCTAGACAGCGAAGCAGGGTCAATCGGGACTCTAGGTCGTCCTTACGTGTTTACGTGTCATTGAATCGATCGATAAAACACTGCTATCAAAATCTCCAGTCATCCCGTTACAAAAGGAAAAAAGGAAGACCGAAGAACATATTACGTCGGCAAATAGAATCAAATATGAAAAGGATGAATAACAACTGGAAAGAGCTAGAAAAGATTGCTCAGGCAGCGTTGGATAGAGTGCTGCTCCACGAGGAGTAATAGGCGTAAGTAAGTAAATAAGCCTATTCTACAGGACTTCAACACAACTCAGATCAAGAACACGTGATTAATCTGAATAGAATGTAAATATATTTCCACACCAAAAACCAACAACAATACGACACAGTCTAACAATAATCAATCATAGTCATAAAGATAGGAGAATATATAGCTCATCTAACGTTTGTCAGACTATCTACAAATCTGACTGAGCAAACAACCAATCATTATCATTCTCATCCACACATCAGTTTCATAAACCTTTTTTCACAACACCGGCTTGTTTTCAGTACACTCACCGTTTATTCTTTATTTTGAAATTGTTTCTTTATATGAATGTTTCCTCTTTTCATATTCTGTTAATAACTAAATCCCATTCCTTTTTGTAAAAGCCATTTCTGTAAACTGTTTCCAACTTCATTTATATGTACAAAAGGACTGGTTTCTAAACCTATAGTTGCTTCCATAGATGTTGGCGTAATAAAGTAACTTCGCTAATAACAAAAATCATAACTTGTTACTGATTCACTGGCATTTTTTCTTATTCGATTGGCTTTTTCGCTTAGTAATAATGGCTAGTCATGTACCTTCTTATCTCCCCTATTCTATAAGATCAATATTTTTATTGTGTACATAGGCATAAATCTGTATTAGTTTATTCAATACTAAATTTTTTCATATTCTCCTGTTTACTATGACTTTTTGCCTAGTTTTGAATATATCCATCTAGAATTCGTCAGAAAAGGTGTATATCAAGTCTTTTGTTTATAACCATAACATTACTATGTAACATTAGAATGTCAATAGATGATAAAGTTATGATGCATTAGATAAAGTTTCGAATGATTCTCATCAGGGAAATGTGTTAAACTTATGTATTTTTATTTATTTTAGTCAGCATCACACTAATAGATGGTAATACCAAGCTACATATACAATACTGAATAGTCCGTTTGACAAGAACGAGTAATACAATTAATTCCTTAATTTACATTAAGCATTGCATTAAGTAACTTTCACATAATAAAATCCAGACTGAATAGAGCATGTGAATAGTTTTAATTCAAGTATATTGCAAACAATTACAAATATGGTTTATTATATAACTACCGGTTACGATAACAAACCTTAAATTGAACTTAGATATAACAATTATCTATCTCAGTATATACATACATAGTTAGAACCCAGAAAACTACTCATTCCAAACCTTGAAATCTAACTCTAAATCCTAATTCTCATTTTTCATACTAATTTACAACCCTCGTTGACCCTAGCAAATAACACAGCTTTGAAATAAAATATATTTGGGGTGATGATAGTGTTTGGTTGCTCAAATATGAGTACCCGATCAAAGTATTAGCTTAATTACCGGTAACTAATTTACTGTCATTATTACTTAACTACACTTTTGAACCTTACATCACTTTGATTTCATTAGATGGTTATTATGGCTGGCTGATATCCAAAACTATCTGTGTGCTATACTCGAGTAAATAAATCCTTTGAGTTCTGTGAGCTGACTGATTTACGTTAGTCTGAATGGCATCATTACCATCTCATTTAAATGGAAGTAAGGGCTAAAGTTAATTCTCAAAATAATGATGAACGGTTTAACACTCAAGGATCTGGCTCAAAATATCACACTAAAACCATCCTTTGAGGCTGAGAATTCTCTCCATGATGAACTCATTCTTGATATACAAGTTTCGTTGTAACGCATTAAAAAGAAAGACATCTAAATTTTGCGAATATTTTTCACTAGTCCCGTAAAAGTGCTACCAAGTTAGTAACGTTGAGATTAAAAGAATTATACAACAGGAAAGTATCAAAATGGTTGATAGGTTGATGAACGTTTATAGAGTTTAGAAAACATGTTAAGCATACCTAACCACCAGCTACCTTGAAGTTTAATAGAAGATGGCAAGCGAATAAATTGACGGGAAGCTGGAGGCTGTTAAACCATAGCATTCTATTGGTCCATAGTGTCGTTATCTGTTAGTCCAACCCGTTTTATTAAATTTAGACTCCCTGATTGTAGCACTCACACCAGACGTGGCTTATCATTTGTGAAGTTATTTGGTAGATGATAACTAACAATACATTAACCGAGCAGATAAAACAGTTAATATGTCTTTCAGAACAGCAATTAAAACAACCACATGTCGGATTACTTACTTGATTTCAGTATTATATTCCATTGGAACTACGTTTAGTGCTCCACACCATTCGCATAACCATAGTTTACACATGTCCTAACTCCATTTTCAACAGTGCCGTCACCAAAACAACCATGGCGTTGTAGACGACTCGTTAATTCATTTGCCTTTAAGAGAGAACGTTTACGTTGATAAATTTCATTCATTGTATCTGAATCTGCTTTGACTAAGTGTTTTTCAGCATTAGTAAGTTTATTTAAGTCCTAAATAAAATATTGAACAATGGGTCAATCAACTGAAATATCAAGATACCAATTTGATGACTTCTTAAAAGAATATTTCATAATTCAATAAACTGTAGAGTACTCAAAGTATTTACAACCCTTATTTATTCAACTATCACTAATGTATACCACATTTCGTGGGATAGATTTGCTAGAGTAAAACGAAAGTTAAACTGAAGTTCAGTATATGCACTATTCAAGTGACGTGCCTCTACAAACAATCACAGAGAAACGTTTACTGGATAAAAACTAAATGTCGTCAAGGCGCGCTATCTAAAAAAGCACTGATATTGTTTCTCGTTGAGTTAATTAGCTGTTTTGATGGTAAATTACGCATCAAAACTACTGTTTACACTTTAATTGAATCTACTCCAGTTAAAGTGTTATTGTATTGAGTGTTTCGATTTCGCTTTTGTGTATTTATTACATCGAAGCACATTTGATCGACTTTTACTTGATTTATTTAGTTAGGGTTTGAGAACTATTTTACATATCCTGTTCGTGTCACCATTGTAGTTGATTTTCAAGATGGTCAGCTCTGCTCATAGATGTGGTCAACCATATTGCTTATTCCCCGTGGAGGAAGGGATGCAATGTGATGAGTGTAATAGGTGGTTCCATAAGATGTGCACCCGATTAAGCCCCACTGCATATAAAAGGTGCTAAAATCCGAACTCTCATTGGCTTTGTATTTTTTGTTGCTCGAGCAAAACATCACTCATCCAGGAAGCAATTAGCCTCCTGGTGTTGGCTAATAAGGAGGTCGACGAGGGTTGTACCCTGGTAATATTGGTACTGATGGCGAAGATTGCGTTAGTGTCGTAAGTGCTGTCACAATGCAAGCCAAGCATCTAACTGTGCAACCCGCAATTGAGCTTTCTACCCCGAAACAATCAATGAGTGACACCTCATTAGATATCGGTGGTCACGTTTCTATAACAACGACTAATGATCCAGACAAAATAATTAATGTCTCGAGTAGTTCTAATGTAGATGCTACGACTGATGGAAAATGGATGACGCGGAAACACAGAAGAGTAGGAAAGATAGCTAAAACTAATGCCCGTTTACTTGGTAATCCTTGGTGGACTCTCACACTACTCCGCCAAAGCCCCAAAGTAAAGCCTCGTCAAACATTGTTGCGAGTTACTCGCTCAACTCCTGTGACTCTGTTACAATAAAAACTAATCGTAAGATGCCGGTGGTTAATATGCAGGCTTTAAGATCACGATCGAAAGCCGTGAACACGATTTCAAAAGAAGACAAACCCCTTCCTAGTTTAATTATTTGTAATCTGGAGAAGTCAAATACAATGACTTTGCTAAGAGACATGCACACGATCTGCAGTTAGTAGAATCCATGGTAAGAAATGTACTACCTGAAGAGGTTTCAGGGGTACATACCACGAAAGATGTACGACTCGGTAAGTGGGTTGGAGGCGAGACCCAACCGAGAAGGATCCTGAAGCTGGTTCTCGGGAATTTTGAAGAAAGAGATATAGTATTGAAAAACACACGAAAAACCCGTGATTTAAATATTCGTATATGACCAGACTGGCCGCTTGAGGATAGAACCAAGTGGAAGAATGCTCTTACGGAGTTGAGAACTCGCAAGTTAAATGGCGAAAATAACCTTACCATTAAGGGTTTTCGGGTAGTCAGATCTTGGAAGCCAATGCTTCCGAGGCCTGTATGGATAGAACGATTGATTACCAAAACACCTTAGGTGTGTGCTACACGAACGTCCGTAGTCTTAGAAATAAAACATCCGAGACAAGTCTGATGATGGATGAATTAAGTCCCGATATAATTGTTGTTACAGAAACTTGGTTCACCATAGATATAGAATGTTCTCCCATCATTGCAGGCTATATCTGTATTAAAAGTGATAGAGTTTCAAGTCGCAAGGAGGGAGGCATAATGTTATACGTTTGGGATCACTTTCGTATACAATCAATCATATCGGAGGCTCATGTTAGTGGTACATGTGAGGTAGCATGTTGTAAGATTAAATCCAGAGATGGGTTAGTGACTATAGGTGGAACATGCCGTAGTTCGTGTTGTCTTGCTGACGACTTTATCTTAAGACACATCTGTCCTTGGAGTATGGCAGAATGTTGTCTCGTCATTGGGGACTTCAGTGCACCGCATATCAACTGGATAGAGCTTACAGCTGCAGGCGGAGGTTTCGATAGACACCTTTTATCAACCGTTATTCAGTGCGCACTTTTATAATGTATCACAAAACCAACACATATTGATTTGAAACATGATCTGTCACTGCTGGATCTCGCCTTCACCCACCACTGTGAGGATGTCTTTGATATTCAGCACCTTACCACACTAGTGAACAGTGATCACGTTGTACTTCACTTTAAGTTTAGGACACATGGTATACAAATTGTATCTGCTCCACCCCGTCCCAATTTCTAGCGAGCTAATATTCCGGAAATCAGATACTGTGCTATCTCGACTGATTGATCGGTCGATGCGGGTGGATCGATCGGAGATGAATGGAATAAGTTTAAAGCTACATTTGAGTCCGTAACGTCGCCGTTTATCCCATGGTCAGCACATAAGCTATCACATTGCCCTTCATGGATTAATAAGGAAACCCGGAAGCTGTCAAAGCGTAGGAAACATTTCTGGGACTTGTTCTTGTTAACAGGTCATGCACCATTTAAGTGTGAGTACCAAAACTTCCGGAATATTTGTAAGAAAACCATAGCCAAATCCCGTACCGCTTACGAACGACAGTTATTATATGATAGCCGTACTTTTCCAAAACGACTGTTTTCGTATGTTAAACGGCGAATGGAACGTAGTGATGGTATTCCCCCGTTACTGTTACACGAAAATTCAGATTGACTAGCTGAATCAGATCGGGCAAAAGCTGAGATTTTTTCAAACTATTTTAGCGAAGTCTACTCTACGTTTATTATAACAAATACTTGTCCCACTCACACCGAGATATCAGCCATTGAATCTGTACAGGTGACTGAGGAAACTGTTCTTCCGTTGATAACTAACCTCAAACCTGGTAAGATACCGGGCCCTAACGGGTTACATCCACGGTTGCTGTCATCTCTTGCGGACATTAGTTCCAAACCGCTTGCAACGCTCTTCAATATGTCCCTTTCACTCGCTTAAGTCCCTAGAGATTGGAAAGACGCTCTAGTCAGTCCTATATTTAAGGACGGTCAGAGACAGATCGTATCTAACTACCGGCCTGTCAGTCTAACCAGCATTGTCGTTAAGTTACTTGAGAAGATAATTCGAGTGAGGTTGCTAAGCCACATAGATTCACACAATCTGTTAGCTCCTGAGCAACACGGATTTCGTAACAAGCGTTCATGCTTGACTAACTTACTTATTGCGAGGGAGGATTGGACAGCAGCTATAGATAACGGTCTGTCTGTCGACGTGATATTCATAGATTTTAGCAAAGCATTTAACAAGGTTTCACACTTAGGTCTTGTGCAGAAGCTCACGAGCTTAGGAATAATAGATACTGTACAGGAGTGGATGGGAAACTTCTTATATTACCGCAGACAGAGTGGAGGTCAATGTGAAGCCAGTCAAAAGTCGTGTACCGCAAGGCACCATCTTAGGCCCTCTGATTTTCCTTCTCTACGTTAATGAGTTATCTCTGTTGCTTAGATCGTCTACATTATTGTTTGAGGATGATGTAAAAATCTGAAGAACAATAAAAAGTGAAACTGATCATCTGGATCTCTAAGCTGACTTAGACGATTTGGTTAGATAGACTCGAGAGTGGGGCTTAGAAATCAATTATAGGAAGAGTGTGATGATGCACATCGGTCATGGTAATAGTTACCGTTACACTATTGAGGGTAAACCTCTTCCATGCGTTCAAGGACATAAAGACTTAGGAGTAATAATAAGTCATGACTTAAAAACAACTACGCATTGCAACGCAGCCACTGTCAAAGGTTTTCGTGCGTCACGGTCACTTCGCCGAGCGTTCAAATCTTTTGACGAGGAAATGTTTCGAATTTTATATCCCACCTATGTAAGGCCACATTTAGAGTAATGTATTCAAGCAGCTGGCCCATGTCTGGTAAAGGATACTCACTTGAGCGTATCCAGTGTGTGGTAACGAAATTAGTGAAGGGTCTTTCTAAACTCCCTTACGATGAGCGTTTAAAACGCCTAGACCTTTTCCCCTTGTCGTATCGTAAGACACGAGGTGACCTTATACTGGCATTTTGTGTCTTCAATAATGATTAGGGTGTCAATATGTCTTATCGTTTTGCTCCCTTCAGCACTAATAATCTTCGAGGTCAAAGAAAGAAGGTTCATAAACCGCAATCTAATAAACTTAAAGTGGGGTCCCGTTTTTCTCATCGAGTAGTCAATGATTGGAACGCCTTGCCCCAACAAGTGGTATCAGCTTCATCAGTGAATATTTCAAAGGAGAAACTGGACCCTCATTGGAAAGCAATCTGTCAGGATCAACACAAGTTCACCAGCCTACTATGCTTATTACTGAAGACTGAAGTTTAGATCCCTTTTATTTTATATCACAACTATACGAACTCAGTCAAAATGCAAAGGATTAGACGTGTATGAAAGTTAAAAAAGTGTAAATTACCTCTTCCGAAGTTTCACACCGTATGGGATTCTTAATTGCAGCACTGATTACATCAGGGAATTTTCGAAAATATGCCAAGTCCTTCGGTTGCGCAACCAGCAATTCGACGTCGGATCGTTCTTTGATAACCTTCACGACATCCGTGTGTGAGAGACGATCTACTTGATTAACAATAATTCTGCATTTTTACTTGCCTACAGTTTTGTTATTCACCATTAAAATTATATCTTCATTGAGTAGACCTCCTGATTCACTAGGTGAAAGAGGTTCAACATTTTCAACTTTGTGTTCATGTTTGAAAGAGTCTGTTCTCAGACTGAAGCCATATCCACTAAAATTCGGCCACAATTTTAAATGACAAAGTCTTGCTCTGTGATACTGACTTTCCGCGGATTCCTTCATTTTAAAAGAGTGTCATAGTTGAGTGTTATCAAAGAAAGTGGCTAAAACAAATAGTTCTCAGTTAGTGATATTTAGCCGATAAATTGAAAGTCACCGATTTTTAGTTGGCATTTAACGATTTATTTGCAGTAATTAATTCTTTATTAAGGTTTTTCGGTAAACATAATTTCTAAAATCATTTTGTACAGTGTTGTATTGTGAAGATAGGCCTGACAAGCCTATTTTGTAAATAGCTTTTAACGTTATTTGTATTTATTTTGTCAATTTCTCGCTGTATGTACATTCGTCATTATATGACTGTACGTGCTGATTAAGTGAATGGCCTTGAACACTCTTTCCGTTGTGGAACTGACATAGCGTGACATACTGTTGCTGGCTAACAAATACACTGCTTCTCACACATTCCTCGTTCTATTTTCGTTCGTGATTGAGTTAACTGAAATCTAAATCAAATATTACTTACATTTATAGACTGTGAGTGGGAATATACCATATCTTACATTGGATTACACTACTGGAGAGTTCGTCAACACGATTGGAATTACCAAGCATTTATATTTGTGGATTCACTGTACCAGACTAAAGCTGAACACGCATCAATTTGGTGAACTTAAGTAAAGTCCCTTTTTTATTGTATTTGTAACAGTTAACTGGTATATAATAATATTACTATTGATATTTAATAACTTTGTTGGTACTTTTCAAGTTTATACATTGTCTGGTCCACCACAATTATTTGGTGAGCCCGACGTGATTCGAACACGCAGTGTACTGGAAAAATCAAAAGCATTTTTGAAATATGAATGGAGTAAGTCATTCTAAATTGATTCTGTGACGGTCTGGTAAAGTCTTGTCAACTTAATAATTACCGATCAGGATTTTAGTGGCAAACAGATAGCTATATAAGTTTCTGACAGTTATGCCGACCTAATCAGCTTTACTAAATACCCGAGAGTATTTGGTCAAGTACTCTCGCCAGATCATATCTGGGTACCCGCGTAGCCGTAAATAAATCTCCAAAATAAATATCTCCATAAGTTTTCGACACTTGATGCTGACCACATTAGTTTTAATGGGCTCACCTAGCTGAAGGCTCTCGGTCATGCATCCCCACCAGATCACGAGTGGGAACGCCGTGCTCAACAAACCCTGCAATAGCTAGCCAGACTAGATCATACGGTCCTCGATATATTGATAGCCTACCAAATATATCTTCGAACCTCCTCGCTTCTGTCTTTTGATTTCTCTTGGTGGGTGCGCTTCATATTAGGTGTTACTTATTAAAGCGTTGTCAAACTCAGAATACCTGTGGCATCTTCACCCGAATAGTTAGGTTATATTATGTGTACTACGTTGCATCAGCCTACCGTCCGAATAGACATTAAACTTGAACCACGCCATAAGAAGAGGCTACAAAGAGCAGAGTTGTCAATGGCTATATAGCCCTGACTTCTTTAGGATGGAAATTGGGTGGAACATAAACGACATGTATCTCTGCACATTCAACATTTTTTAACTAAATGAACCAAAAAAGCTTAACAGTGTGTTCCATTTTACATGATTTTTAAAGTGCATGAATTTTGTATTTTTTCATTAACAGTTCAGTCACTTGTCACCTGGAAATATTTTAATTGTTCCTAGCTGTAAGTTTACTACAAGTGACTTTATATACACTTGACCTATGTCAAGGGTAAGGACCCAAGTATCTTGGATTTTATATGTGAGTCGGCTGATGTACTGAGAGAGGCCGCTCTTAAATATGTTCTGCCATTCGGCTTTTATATCCTTCAAAGGTGACTATCGACGTTGTCGAAATAGGTCATATGTTTCCCGTGTACAAAGTCTATAAGACTGATAAATAAGTAGTCGAAATACTGAACATTTCGATGGCATCATCACTATAACTAATTAAATTTGGAGTGACCATGTTAGACACATTCACTGTTCTCCAGTCTAACATCTAAAGCCTTCATCGTACGCAATTTCCTGCAATTTTCAAACACTAGTTTTCCTATTAGTTCACTAAGGTTGAGAGAATAAATGGAGATGTTATTCGAGATGGGGTAATTTATAAACAGTGAAATTGGCTGGTGAAAAATCTTGTGGTAAATTCATTTTAGAAGCAGTCTTATGTTCCGTTGAGTAGTGTTCAAGTAGATCCGTGGAAGTTATATTTTTTCCAACGAGCTAATTTTATGTTTGGGAGTCTGTTAAATGTCATATCTACCAAATTTATGTCAAAATCAACTTTGAATCGACCGTCCTGAGCCTGAGATGGTTACATTATTCTCAATCTATTGACAGAAAAATCGAAGCACGAGCAAATAATATACTGACTGCCCCACTTGAGCGGAAAGCAAAGAGAATATCGAATTCAAAGTGGCCTGGATAAAACCGCTATGTATAATTTAACAAATCGTGTTTCGTAGATCTCTTTATCTAGATAAAATCCACGAGCTCCGTAAAAAACCATCTAGATAAGTCATGTTCTAACAGGAGGAAAAAACAGACGGCAAGTGTTGCCTAACAGACACCAGGGCAACTCTCCATGAATTCAAAATACACCACGACACCGAAAACAAACCTTTATTTTTGGTAAGATTTCACGGTGGAATAAGTGTTTGTGCAGTAATAGTTTGGAGTGATGAGTCTCAATCAAGTGCAAAGGGTAATTAACTATCAAAATGCATGAGGCATATATACTTGGTGAAAATGAAACGAACATGAAAAAGTTAACTTAGTGGAGTGTTCCGCAAGATATTGTCTTAATTACAAGCTTCTGGTGCTTAAGAGTAGTATTTTTAAGGAGGAAAAACGTGAGAGAGAAAAGAAGTGAACAATGCTTGAAATGGTTCAACCACAATACATATTCGCCACACAAATCCCATTCCATATGTGTGAGGGCTGTGATACTGCCCACGTGCCCAAGCCGAACCAGGTGGTTTTATAAGGGGGCCACTCCCCGAGCCTTTGACCTGAGGGACTTATCCACAAGGCAGTGGAGCATCATAAGGAGATGCAGTCCCATGGTAGCCGGTGACCAACGATTGGTTCATATGCTATTTGTTCCCGCAGGATACTGGAGCCCACGTACACCATTGGTTTGGAATCTGGTTAAAGCGCCGGACATTCTCTTTTTGTCCTCTCAATCTCGTCAACAACACCCCCACCACGAGGAGGCAATGAGTAGGATATCCCTGGAAGAGGCTATATAAGTGTGGCCATGTGAGAGCATTTCGAGAAGGAGAGCGGACTCTTCCCACTCTCGGTTGTACCATGGCATTTGGGGGCCTAATTGGAAAGTCGTATATTTTTCATGATGTGACTGCTCAATTTACAAAATTTTATGCGGAGGTCACATCATAGTCTGTACTGACTCGTCCTATATGACGGCAAGTAGTATGAAGTCTAGAACTTCTGAAGAACACGTTCGCACTGGGACGAAAGTAATACATTCGGCACAAAAAGCAGGAGGTTACATAAACTAACCACGCCTGCATGACCAAGCCAAGCTAAACCGATCAACTATCCCTGCGTTTAGAATTACTGACCTTCTATCTGTGTTAACTTTTGAGTGTGAATATTATGCTGTCTTTCGCTCATCCTTGCGTATCGAGTGATTATAGTCAATATATATGCCAGTTAACTTTGTTATCCAGAAATCCTATAAGGGAGCGCAAAATAACCGGTTAAATTTGACGTTTTAACCGACCGATTAAACGTTTTCCGCCTCACGTTCTGTTATACATAGCTCTGAATTTTACTTGCATTTATTTTTTAATCTCCTGTTGCTCGTCGCAACAGATGACCATTGCATCTTGTAACATATTGTAGCGGTAAATAAATCCCCAAAATAAATAGCTCTGTAAGTTTTCGACATTGGATGCTGACCATATGTTTTAGTGGACTCATCTAGCTGAAGGCGCTCGGTCAGGCATCCGCACCAGATCACGTGTGGTAACGCCGTGCTCAACATCAACCGCAATTGCTAGCCAGATTAGATCAGAGAATTCCGATATATTGGTCATCGCCAAATATACTCTTCCAATCTCCTCGACTCTGTCTTTTGATTTCTCTGGGCGGGAACGAAATATATTAGAAGGTGTTACTGGTAGAAGCGTTGTCAAACACTGAATACCTGTGACATCATCATTGGTGAAACCGACGTGATCTGGTACACCTAATTGCAACTGTGAGTCTGTTCCTTTTTGGGATTTTTATATATCATTGCCTTATTTTTTTATTTTGTTTAAACATTGTGATTTTTTTTTCGTGTTTTTTCTTGGATATATATATTTTTTCCCCTCGTTCATCATCGTACTTCATACTTCATCATGACTGAACATACACCTAAAGTACTCAAGCTTAAGACCTTGTCCCCGCCTTCGTTTCAACTGATGCCTTTCTGGCCCGACAACATCGAAGCCTGGTTTTGCTACACAGAAGCCGACTTCTCCGAGCACGGCGTGATCGACACACGTGCACAATTCCTCGCAGTAGTCAAGGCACTACCGCGGAAATTCAACAGGTACGTAACATCTAGTATGTTTACTAGTGATGTTTCTGAACCTTACGAAACCTTGAAACGTTCGATTCTTAAAAGAGGAGACCTAACCGATCGACAAAGGTCAGATCAACTCTTCAACAATATCGACCTGCAACACGGTTCTGCGACGGACATGTTGCAACGGATGAGAGAGGTAATAGGCCCAAGAACTTTCGACGAAGGTCTATTCAAAAAACTCTTCTTGTCAAAACTTCCCCAACAGGTGCAAGCAGTTCTGGTCTCGTTTCAGAACAACGCCTTAGACGAACTGGCTGCATCTGCCGACCGCATTTTAGAAATTACGAAATCTACTACCGAGGTATTTTCAGTCAAAGAAAAACCTCAAACGACTCAGAATGATATAAACGACTTATGTCACACACTCACGCGTTATCTTAGTTTTCGTACCCACCGTAAGAGATCGCGCACACCACGTAGAAGCATTTCTCGTAAGCGGCCTGTCTCTAGACCACGAGAGACAGATAACCCCGACT